ACAGATCACTGAACTCTGTATAGTGCCCAGGGCAAGGCGGTTGCTGACTCAGCAAATTCCTGTTACTTACAGGATGATGACCTCTTACAACCACTTACCACACTCTGAACTTGACACAATATAACTCTTTGTTTATTCCCTGTCAGTCTTATCTAACCATAATCTTTTCACTTTTTGTATGTTTAAAATGACCACTATCTACATATGCACCGTTTGAAATAAAATAACAATAAAGAATTTACTTTCCGACAAAACACGTTTAATACAAAGGTTTCTTACATGGGAAAGTATATATATATATATATATATATATATATATATATATATATATATATATATATATATATTGAAAGCTTTTAAGGTGTCAGTTTCAACCTTCACTGGCCCAAATTATTAATAACATTCCAATAAGCTGCTTGCAATTAGACCTCTGATCATACAATAGCTGTATGATCCCTACCTGAAGGATCTTTCCGGGCTTAACTCACCAGTCAATCCACTAGGCCTCCTGGTGGATCAAGACCTGATCAACCAGGCTGTTACTACTCTGCCGCACGCTGTTCAACGTACGAAGAACAGTCCGGGTGATCAGTAACTGGTGTAAACTTCTGGTTTTGACTCTTCCTGGTGAATATAATTGTATCGTGACTTTTTTCTTCTTAAAAGTGAGGTATAATTGCTCGCTTTTATTGCAACACAAGTGCTGGTCTGGAACTTACAAACTCATTGTGTTCCTGGTGTTAAAACTGACAAACAAGTTGTGTTCCTAGTGTTTCACCTTACAAACAAGTAGTGTTCCTGGTGTTAAAACTTACAAACAAGTAGTGTTCCTGGTGTTAAAACTGACAAACAAGTAGTGTTCCTAGTGTTTCACCTTACAAACAAGTAGTGTTCCTAGTGTTTCAACTTACAAACAAATAGTGTTCCTAGTGTTTCACCTTACAAACAAGTAGTGTTCCTGGTGTTTCAACTTACAAACAAATAGTGTTCCTAGTGTTTCACCTTACAAACAAATAGTGTTCCTAGTGTTTCAACTTACAAACAAGTAGTGTTCCTGGTGTTTCAACTTACAAACAAGTAGTGTTTCTAGTGTTTCACCTTACAAACAAGTAGTGTTCCTGGTGTTTCAACTTACAAACAAGTAGTGTTCCTGGTGTTTCAACTTACAAACAAGTAGTGTTCTTGGTGTTTCAACTTACAAACAAGTAGTGTTCCTGGTGTTTCAATTTACAAACAAGTAATGCTCCAGGTGTTTCAACGTTAAAACGAGTTGTTTTTCCAGCATTTCAACTTACAAATGAGATATGTTCCAGGTGTTTCAGCTTACGAGTTATTTATTTTGGAAACTGTATTGCAAAATATATCAGTGTTTCAGTCCCATTCGTATTGTGGCTGTTATAAAATTTTAATTCGTTCCTAACATCTTACTTGTAAGGTAAATATAAATGTGTGTAACTTTGTGTTGTCACAGGTGACGTATTTGGGGGTGTAGACTCTTAATCATATCTAACCTACAATATTATATATCTTTTGTAATCTGTCATTTGTTGAATTTCGACATTTACGTAAATGTAAATGTGTTTGCCATTTGTGGTCTTTGTTAATAAGCGACCTATTTTGGGATTTGGTCTCTTATCAAAAATAAGTAAATACATTGCGCTCTCAGTCTGATAACGGAATTCAAAGCTATTTGGTATATATATATATATATATATATAATATATATATATATATATATATATATATATATATATATATATATATATATATATATATATATAATTTAAATTTTTCTTTCCTATTGTTTTGGCAGGGCTCTGGTTATCCAATGTATCCTCCTGCTGGTGGTGGCTATCCACCAGCCCCAGGCTATCCACCTGCCCCAGGGGCATCACCTTATCCACCTGCCCCAGGAGCTTCGCCATATCCACCTGCCCCAGGAGCCTCGCCATATCCACCTGCCCCAGGAGCATCGCCCTATCCACCTGCCCCAGGAGCTTCGCCATATCCTCCTGCTCCAGGAGCTTCGCCATATCCTCCTGCTCCAGGAGCTTCGCCATATCCTCCTGCTCCAGGAGCATCTCCCTATCCTCCTGCTCCAGGAGCTGCACAGTATCCGCCAACAACTGGGTTTTCTCCATACCCACCTGCCCCAGGAGCTTCACCCTACCCACCTGCCCCGGGGGCTTCACCCTACCCACCTGCCCCTGGAGCTTCGTCCTATCCGCCTTCAGGAGCGGCACAGTACCCGCCTGTATCCGGGGCCTCTCCATACCCACCTGCTGGGGGTAGCCTCTACCCAGGTGCTGGGGGTAGCCCCTACCCAGGTGGAGGGGGAAGCCCCTACCCAGGTGCTGGGGCGGCACCTTACACCCAAGCAGGTGGTCACCCATCCGCTGCGGGGGGCAGTTACCCTGCACAACAGAGTGCGTGTCAAGCCACCCGCATGTCTGCCACCCACTCTGCCTCACCCTCGGGCGGCAGGATCATCCCATACAACGTAAGTACCCGGAAAGTGTCTGTTAAATGTATTCCGTGGCTCAGTTGGCAGCGGTCTCGACTCTGAGGGACCTGAGTTCGATCCCCGGACGAGTGGAAACGTTGAGTGTGTTTCTTTACATCTGCTGTCCCTGTGCATCTAGAAGTAGGTACCTGTGTGTTAGTCACCTAGCAATAAGTAGGTACTTGGGTGTTAGTCACCTTACACCTGCTGTCCCTGTTCATCTAGCAGTAAGTAGGTACCTGGAGGTTAGTCACCTTACACTTTCTGTCCCTGTTCATCTAGCTGTAAGTATGTACCTGGGTATTGGTCACCTTACACCTGCTGTCACTTTACCTAGCAGTAAGAAGGTACCTACCTATTTGTAATTGCAAGGGTTGAGTCACAGCCCCCGAATGTTAGTCGATTAAGATTAAAGGACCACAATAGAAATAAGACAGTGGCTTTACTGGGTTACTAACCGTCAAGAATAATAATAATCCTAGCAAAATCTCGGAAAAACTGAAGCGTATCAGTTCTGTACCTCGTGAAGATAGCTGGTTAGGCTAAGATAGCTTTCTTTGCCTTCACTATAAATAATGTTAAAATATGTATTATTTTTAGCCAATTCTAATTTAGATATAGTAATAAAAATCTATATTGTGAACGAAATTAATCTTGTTGACTATAGGTTAGAGATGTTTTTAGATATGGAGGTAAGTGTATTGTTGACCTTCGTAGCTCTCTCTCTCTCTCTCTCTCTCTCTCTCTCTCTCTCTCTCTCTCTCTCTTCTCTCTCTCTCTCTCTCTCTCTCTCTCTCTCTCTCTCTCTCTCTCTCTCTCACATAATTATCTAATGCATTTGACTTTATGTCGTGTGTGAGAGAATGTATGTGTGTATACTCACCTAATTGTGGGTGCAGAGGTCGAGTGTGTGTGGTGTGTGTGTGTTTGTGTGTGTTGCGTGTGTGCATGTGTGTGTGTGCGTGTGTGCATGTGTGTGTGTGTGTGTGTGTGTGTGTGTGTGTGTGTGTGTGTGTGTGTGTGTGTGTGTGTGTGTGTGTGTGTGTGTGTTCTCACCTAGTTGCGGTTTCAGGTGTTTATGCATAGCTCCTGGCTCTGCGTTATCGCTGGTCGCTATTAGGTACACTCTCCCTTCTCCGTAAACTTCATCGAACCTCTTCTGTATGAAACCTGTATAAATGTATGGAGCCTGCCTCCACTACCTCACTCTTCAGATTGTTCCACTTCCTGACTACTCTGTTACTGAAGAAATACTTCCTAACATCCCTGTGACTTATCTGAGTTTTCAGCTTCCAGTTGTGACCTTTTGTTGCTGTGTCCCCTTGTTGGTGTGTCTCCTTGTTGCTGTGTACCCTTGTTGTTGTGTCCCCTTGTTGCTGTGCCCCCTTGTTGGTGTGTCTCCTTGTTGCTGTGTCCCCTTCTTACTGTGTCCCCTTGTTACTGTGACCCCTTGTTGTTGTGTCCCCTTGTTGCTGTGTCCTATCTATGAAACGTTCTGTCCCTATCCACCTTGTCATTCTTCTCAGTATTTTGTATGTCGTTGTCATGTCCCCTTTATCTCTCCTGTCCTCCAGTGTCGTCAGATTGATGTCCCTTAACCTCTCCTCGTAGGACATACCCCTTAGCAAACCTTTGCACTTTCTCTAATTTCCTGATGTGATTGACCAGGTGTGGGTTCCATACAGGTGCTGCATGCTCCAATATGGGCTTGACGTACACGGTGTATAGCCTTTAATGATTCTTTACTGAGGTGTCGAAACGTTATTCTTAGGTTTGCCAGGCGCCCACATGCTGCATCAGTTATTTGGTTGATATGCGCCTCAGATGTGCTCGGTATTTTACTCACCCCAAGATCCTTTTCCTTGGGTGAGTTTTGCAGCCTTTCATCCAAGCTGTACTCCATCTACGATCTTCCTTGTCCTTCCCCAAACTTCATAATTTTGCACTTGTTGGGATTAAACCCCAAGAGTCATTTGTCGGACCAGGCTTGCAGCCTGTCCAGATCTTGTAGCCTTTTCTGATCCTCGCCCACTTGTATTCACCTCATTAGCTTCACATCGATTGCAAACAGGGACACCTCTGAATCTATCCCTTCTGTCTGCCACGTGTGTATGTGTACACCTTTTTGTACTCACCTATTTGTGGTGTGCGTGTGTGTGTACACCTATTTGTACTCACCTATTTGTGGTTGCAGGTGTGTGTGTGTGTGTGTGTGTGTGTGTGTGTGTGTGTGTGTGTAAAGGTTACGTTGTCACAATAATGAAAACACACTGACATTTTATTTTTCGTACTGGTGAGTAGAGTAGGAGTATCCTGGAAACCAAACACAGGCGTCTCGCAGGCATGCTAAAGGGCCACTGCAGAGGCAGAGTTTGAACACTCATTTCCGTAGATTATTTAAAGAATATTTGAAGATCCATTGTTTCTACCAAGGTAACACCGAAGTCCTTGACTACTACTATTACTACAACCACAAATAATAATAATAAAATAATAATAATAATAATAATAATAATAATAATAAAATAATAATAATAATAATAATAATAATAATAATAATAATATATTGACACTAGGAAGCGTGTGATGGGTGAACTCTGGTATACACTGTGGTGTATATTGGTGGGACTGCTATACACTGTGGTATATATTGGCAAGATTGGTATACACTGTGGTGTATATTGCTGGAAGTAGAATACACAGTGTATACCAGAGCCCCACCAGTATACACTGTGGTGTATAATGGTGGGACTGGTATACTCAGTGTGGTGTATGTTAGTGGGGCAGTTATACACTGATGTATATTAATGGAACTGGTATACTCAGTGTGGTGTATATTAGTGGGCAGTTATACACTGATGTATATTAATGGAACTGGTATACACAGTGTGGCGTATATTAGTGGGCAGTTATACACTGGTGTATATTAATGGGACTGGTATACACAGTGTTGTGTATGTTAGTGGGGCAGTCATACACTGGTGTATATTAATGGAACTGGTATACTCAGTGTGGTGTATATTAGTGGGGATGTTATACACTGGTGTATATTAATAGGACTGGTATACACAGTGTGGTGTATATTAGTGGGACTGGTATACAGTGTGGTGTATATTAGTGGGACTGGTATACAGTGTGGTGTATATTAGTGGGACTGGTATACACAGTGTGGTGTATATTAGTGGGACTGGTATACAGTGTGGTGTATATTAGTGGGACTGGTATACAGTGTGGTGTATATTAGTGGGACTGGTATACAGTGTGGTGTATATTAGTGGGACTGGTATACAGTGTGGTGTATATTAGTGGGACTGGTATACACAGTACGGTGTATATTAGTGGAACTGGTATACACTGTGGTGTATATTAGTGGAACTGGTATACACTGCGGTGTATATTAAGCGAACTCAGACATGAACTGGATTCAGCTGGACTCCTGGAAAACATTGACCTGTCTTGACACTCCTAATTCCTCCAGCCCATAAGATGCTGGTGAAGGGCCCTTGATCCAGGTAACTGGAGCTACCTTCTTGCCAGGAACAAACCTGACAGCCTCCCTTACGGTTTTAGCTCTTCCCTCATCGATACCATGCCTAACCCTTCTAGGGTAGGGTAGGTGCCTGAGCCCGAGCCTTTAGCTCATAAGACTGTCATTCCCATTAGCCACCTTGGGGTGGGGATGGCAGACCAGGGAGGCCTAGCTTGTGGCTAGGCCTGGGGACAGTTGGTCCCAAAGATGAGGAGGTACTTGTGCCTCCTCCCATGGGAGACTTAGGTCTCAGACACTCCCTAAAGAGGGAGCCAAGGCCGGGCCACCACTTGGAAAAGGCCCGGGCCGGGAGAATACCGGCGAATCTTTAATAATAATAATAATAAGCTCTTCCCTTGAATACAATATTTAACAATACAATATTCGTGTAGCCTATGTTTTTTCCCTATTAGTATTTGACAGACCTTTATTTTCAAATTACTGGGAAGATGCCATAGGTAATTGTGTATATCAGAGGTATATATACCTGCATGATGAATGAGACACATGTGCAACATCTGGATAAGGATATCCAGATGTTGCAACATCTGGATAAAGATACCCAGATGTTGCAACATCTGGATAAGGATATCCAGATGTTGCAACATCTGGATAAAGATATTCAGATGTTGCAACATCTGGATATCCTTATCCAGATGTTGCAACATCTGGATAAATATACCTAGATGTTGCAACATCTGGATAAAGATACCCAGATGTTGCAACATCTGGGTATCTTTATCCAGATGTTGCAACATTTGGATAAAGATATCCAGATGTTGCACGTGTCAGAATTCATCACAATAGGTAATTAAACTAATTAGTTAGGTCATTACAACCAGGTCATTTCAACTAGGTACTTAGTGGTATTGGATCCCAAAAGAAATGTAACAATGGGTGGATAATGGGGTTTAAAACCTATCTACTGAACTAGGCTTATTAAGGTGGCCTGGTGGCTAAAGCTCCCGCTTCACACACGGAGGGCCCGGGTTCGATTCCCGGCGGGTGGAAACATTTCGACACGTTTCCTTACACCTGTTGTCCTGTTCACCTAGCAGCAAATAGGTACCTGGGTGTTAGTCAACTGGTGTGGGTCGCATCCTGGGGGACAAGATTAAGGACCCCAATGGAAATAAGTCAGACAGTCCTCGATGACGCACTGACTTTCTTGGGTTATCCTGGGTGGCTAACCCTCCGGGGTTAAAAATCCGAACGAAATCTTATCTTATCTTAAGGTTACACGTAACCTTGTTCCCTCCAGACAAGAAAAATACCTAAAATAAAGACTAAACTCTGAGTATATATACATATATTCTGAGAGAAAGGCGCCTCTCAGCATATATATATATATATATATATATATATATATATAATAATATATATATATATATATATATATATATATATATATATCCTGTTTGACTTAATTAGGTTATCCTAGGTTAAATCTACATTTTTGAAAGCATAC